ATGAACATTGATGAACCATTGCACAGCTACCCTCTGGTAAACTAACATTTGCAACTATAAATCAACTATAATGGATAAATCAACTATAATGGATAAATCAACTATAATGGATAAATCAACTATAATGGATAAATCAACTATAATGGATAAATCAACTATAATGGATAAATCAATTATAAATGATAATCACCATTTTCAATGGATAAATCAACTATATATTTCTATCACCATGTTCGCTATTTTAAGGAACATCCAATGATGAACATCCCAACAAAAACTCAGCCAGCAACAGGGTGAAAATAAACAGCCTTGCTGCAAATTTATCTTTGGGATATATAATCATATTTTTTATGCGATACAATAGATAAGTTAGGGTTATTTGATGTTATAAGGTTATTTGACTATGAAGCTTGGGATATCTGGTGATTGAGCCACCCCCAAATTCTGCTCGGAAAAAAATGGATCATCATCTCATTTGTAGGGTGGAAAACACACCATGCCTAAAACCGTCAAGCAGGGTTTGTTTTGGATATAAGATAGGATATCGCAATATATTGCAATATATCGCGATATATCGCAATAGTACATTCAAATCATTATATCCAATCTTCATAGTCATAGCAGCGGAGTTTCATGGGGTGGGATATGGGATAAAATATGACTGGTATTTAGTGGGTATATAATAGGGAAACGAAATAAACCAAGGGATATAGGGGCATGAAATGAGATAACATGCAATTTTAAGGCATACCTACACTATGATAGTGGGAAATACACTTCGTAAATTTAACATGGAACTCAAAAAAACATATCGAATAGAAAATCATGTGTAATGGATTGCAGTGGGCTAACATCGGCAATCATTATGGTATAGACTTATTAAATACACATGTGAAATAAAATGCAAGCTGTACATATACACACATGCATACCATACGTGTATCCGCAGGCCTGGTTTCATCATGATTTTAGTGATTTTGGGGTGCAAGGTTGCTATCCCTGCGGCACAGTAGCATGAAAACTACACTGAAAGATTGAGCATGGATCTGTAAAGAAACATCTTACCTGGAAAGACATGTAGCCCAACTTGATGTGCCCGATCCTGGATTCCCTTCATTTCAGGTTGCTATCATGGCTATGTTGGTTAGTAAACCATCAGAGCTAAGGGAAATGCCCGATATGACCCCCTTGCCTGTATTTCTTTCAGCGTTGGCAGTTCAGCCACTTCGACTCCTGCGACATGAGACTATCGCTGAAGGATGAACTTTTTTTGTTCGCCCAAATATTGCGTCCTGGACAGAGAGGGAACTTGTTGGTCGAAAACACAGCAAATTTCAGATGGTTTTCAAAATAAAAGTATTTATGCGCTTGTTGAAACCATACGTCAATGTTGCAAGTGTCTCCCCAGTCCTCATGTCACAGCATGTCATGTTGGATTTTTGATGGTCGATCACTTTAAACTCATTACATCACATCAAATCACATTTTTTGTTGATTAATTAAATCACCTGTGTTTCTTGGGTAAATCAACTGAACACGTGTTTCTTGATTATATCAATATGTTTCTTGATTAAATCACCATTGTTTGGTTGGTTAAATTTACCCATTTGTTGGTTGCTTTCAATCACCATTATATCATTATCATCATATATTAAAAAACAACATGACATCACATCAAATATCATCAAAATCACCATTTCGCTGTTGGTTCAACTACCCAGACGGTATCATTCTTTGGTTGAAATCCAGAGGGGCTCAATCCCGGCTCCGCCCGGCCTAGCTCCGTGACGCGGGCCCCAAGAGATTCGAAGGCGTTGCGAGTGGAGCGGCTGCCCGTCTCGCGCTCGTGCTCCAGGTCTGACGACGGGACGGGAAAGGCTGCGAAAGGTGTCACCAAAGGATGAGGAAAACATGGATAATCAGAATTATATTGGGTTTATATGGGCTATATATACTGATTTATATTGGTTTATGTATATATATATATATATATTAATGGTTTATATTAATGGTTGATATTAATGGTTTATACGTGGTTTATATATATGGTTTAAATTAGTTTATCAATGTTTATCAACGTTTAATAAGTTTTGATGTCGGAATGTAGCCTAGTTATTTGCAGTTCTCCCTGAATGACGTCGGAAATGTTCAGATCCCGGTGATCCTCCGGTGTGTCCACCAAGGCACTTGAGAGCCGATGTTCCAAGGTGAAGTTTTGCTGCGAAGTTTGCTGCAAAGTTTCGTCAAAGAGCTTCCTTGGCGACCAAGGCACCATTTCTGGCAGAAGTCTGAAAGAGATCCAGTTCTTGGAGAAGTTCTTGTACTCAAGATCAACAACTCGAAACCCTTCCTTAGTAGCCTTAGGCCACTTATGGCTTTTTTGTACCCCGGATTCCCCCGGTACCTTGGATTTCACATCACCATAGGTTTTATGGATGAATGTTCTCCCAAACATATATGGAATATCATAGGCGACTTGACTCATCTTAATGATCTCTGGCTTCGTATAGCACGTCGGTTGCGTGACCTGATTTAGGAAAGTCACAGGACTCGGACCTTTAGAATCTGATGGTTCTTGGATCGTTTTCTGAAGTTCTTGGGTCCTAAAACAGAATGGATTGATCCATTCTGCTGATTGACAGGGATTCTCATCATGGATGACATGGATGATGATAATCCCATATGTCTTGGGTAGTATAACCCATAGAATCATCAACCAACAGAGTCTTTGGGGCACAAAATGAACATTGACCCAACATGTTTCTGTTACCGTGCAATCCAACCGTTTTGCTTTGCCTGGCGCAGTCAAAATCAAAATCCTGGAAGCCGCTGATCTTGCATTTTGAATTGTAAGATGGTCTAAGCCATCCACAACATCCATATAGTTTGACTTCTAGAGATTCTATAGTGGCTATGTATAAAATCGTACACATTTCCATCATCCCCAAACAAGCTAAAAGCAACTTGAAATGGCTGGGAGGCGTCATGGTATACTTTTTTCATCATTTCATATCCAGTTTCATCATGTCATATCCCGGTTTGCCTTCAGCGTGGTCTATCGGATAGCCCTCACTTCGAAGCAAGAGTCATGAGGCGACTCTGCTGGCCGAGTTCCGAGGTGAGCCTGGCCAGGTGGCCGGAGATTGAAACCACTCCGGTGACCCCCGCATCGACAGTTCATAAGTCGTTAGAGGTGGTTAATAAGTCGGTAAAGCTTGATGTATATTTAAACATATATATTATAATATTATATATTATATATATATACTGTATATATATTTATTACATATATATATATATTTATTACATATATATATATATTTATTACATATATATATATATATTTATTACATATATAAATATATATAGGTTATATAGAGTGTGTGTATGTAAATCTACTTGGTCCTTGGAAACTCTGTGTATCTCTTTGTACATTGTTTTCTGGTGATTGCTCTCTTGTGGGAACGGCTCGCTACTTCGTGAAGAGACATGTCGTGCGGAACGTTGAAATTGTGGCTGTGATGAAAGATAATGTGGTAAACCCAGTGCCATAAACACCCATAAACAACAACCATTTAAACTGGTGATGGTTTATTTATCCCATTTATGGTACGTTGTGGGGATAGTTCATAATTGAGTTTACCGCTGACCGGTTACCACACACCCACCACATTCGTGGGTGTTCTTGGATATATACCCCGAGCAGGATAGAGAAGTGTCGGCTCCTGAAGCTTCTCAAATAATGAAGCTTCACAATTATTGCACATACAATTGGTGATTATGATTATACAATCTCTTCTGGTGATTTTACAATTTCTTCTGGTTGGCTCAGTTGGCTCATTGAAATTTCCACGTGGGGATCGCCATGGATGGAACCTGCCTTCAAAACATATTACTGCCGCAGTGGTCATTGGGGATCATCATGCAATTCATGGCAATTTCATGCAATTTCTATTGAACATTATATGAAGACATGAAACCACCAAGGAGATAAAGAAAATGATTGAAGCTACAGTAGCAGCTATTGCTGTTGACATCTGCGTGGTTCCCGCCAGTCCAGTGACCCGTTACCCACGCGGGTTCCGCGTTGCTGCCTGGCCAGTTCAGAGCCCTGCTCCTCCACAGTTTTCCGCAGGCGTCTTAGCTGGCCCTCCATGTCCATGCTGGTCATGCCGGTCATGCTGATTGTGGTGAATCAACGAGAAATGAGACATTGAATGCCTGATATCATGGCCACCCTTAGATACCCGGCACAAAAAACAAAGTAGCTGCTTAGGTTCATATTAATGTATATATATATACATTTCATTTGATATATATATATATATAATAGAAAAAATGCACTAACGTATCCATCTAGTCGATTGAAACTACACGGAACAAATCAGCTTTTAGCTGGGATAGTTTCTGTTGGATCTGAATGAAGGACTGCAAACTATGCATGTTTACCTGTTCTTTGTCAAACGATGGAAGAGTTATATAAATGATATGGCAGTCATACTGTGTCCATGAGTGTGACTGCTCACTGTTCTTCCATTAATTTGTGACAACAGGTTCACAATTCACTTGTGCGATGCTACAGATACATTAGCATTTATATCATCAGATCAGGATAGACTAAGAACATTCTAATTACTAATAACATCTAATAATAATATCAATATCTGATATATATATATATAACATTATATAACACATTTTCTTCCATTCACCTGTGACAACATTTCGAGATCCCTGGAGCCCAATGGCAATCAGCCATGATCGAAATATCTGAAGGTACCAGTGGAGTACAGCCCGTTCTCAAACACACCCTTATCGGTATGTTCTTTTATAAACCAAAAAAATGCACCCAAAACATTGGATGTTTGATACTAACCAAACCAGATTGGTAGCTTCCCGGATCTTCAGGTTTGAGCCAAAAAAAAAACAGGCGGGCAGAACAATTCAGGGCTGTCTTCGTGTACTCAACTCAATACCACCATATATTGGAGCTCGGTTGGCCAGATAATCATAATTTGCCCAGCTATGTCATGTCCCACGTGCCCATGAAATCCATCTGCTCGAAAGGTGCAAGGTGCCCTGCGGCAGGAGCACCTGGCTCTCAATCCATCCAGCATCATGTTCATAGTCTGGCCGTCGCATGCGAACCTGCTAGGAGCTTGGCTGATGACTCTTGGAAATATGGTTGGTCTGGTTGGTCATGTGATTGAATGATTATTCCTCAAAGTTTTGGGAAAATATCGGCTGGTCACTTGCTTTTCCCTACCAGTCTATGACTTACGGAGAAAAACGGCCCTGCCCTGCTGTTTGGGAATCCACTGTGTGGACAGGAGCCCCCTGACTCTGGTTGCACGGTCGTTGAATATGTTGCTTGGTCACCGAACTCATCACATTTACTAAGCATAGGTCAGTTTTGTGAGGGAATAATTCCAAACTTTGGAAGGTGTGAGCCCATCTGAAACCAGAACCAGAACATGTCTGTCTGACATGCTCAGTCATAGGATAAAGTTCAACAGAGCCCAACCATATGCAGTCTATGTCCTTATCATATTTGGAGGTGTCCTAAGTCATGGGGGTACCCCCAAATCATCTATCTATGACTCGGATTTTCCACAAAAAACACCCAGCTATTGGGGTACTCCCATGACCCGTGGGACCGGATCCATCGGATCTCGCCCCTTTTTTCCCCTCGTCCAAGCGTTGTTTCAAACAACGACCCGCCTTCGGCGGGACGCCGTCCCAATTTTGGACCCTCCAAATTGGTGACATAACGCACATTCGAACATCAAATGAATCAAATAGTTTTTGAGGCCATCAAAAATCAACAAAAAACTTGGTTTCCCCAGTTTCCCCTGTAAATGGTCTGTCTTTACCTGGCTTTCCAGTTTCGCTTCACGTCGCGGGCCCGACTCATCCGTCCATCTCTTTGAGACGCTCCGCCAAGTTCGCCTCGCCGGCGCCCTCCAAGTCCTTGATGGCCTCAACGCGGCGCATCGTTGTAAGCATCGTTGGCTTGATATCTGGTCCATGAAGAGTGGGATAACCAACCCAGATGGTGTGAATGTAAATATATATATATAATATATATAATATATATATATAATATAATATGATATAATATAATATATTATAATATTATATTATATAATATGATATAATATGGTATAATATGATATAATATGATATAATATAATATAATATAATATAGTATAATATAATATAATATAATATATAATATATAATATATAATATATAATATATAATATAATATATAATATATAATATATATCATATTATATTTATTATTTATTTTTCTTATTAATATATATATATATATAATATGTATTAGCTAGTGAGGATATGATGGGATATATGATGATCTATGATAAATATATAAATACCAGTATGTGAAAGGCTAGTTCTTAAGGTTGGAATGGTGATTGTTTGTGAACCCTGAAACCGATAAGTGACTCATTTGAATTTGATCCGTCAGTTTTCAGTGACAACAATATCATACTTCACAATTCACCCAAAGGTAAAGCTGAACCATTGGGATTTTCATGGATTCTCTGTGGATTTTATCTGAAGGTTCTTGATCCACCGGATGATCCCGCTTGGAATCGGCTACGAGTTGGGTAGTGACTTAGATCCAGCGAAAACCACCGCCTTGGTGAAATGGAGGAAACCATGAAGCCTTGTGGTTTTTGCCTGTACATGTTCCTGTGGAAAAGCATGCCACGTCTGCCACGTCCAACGGAACGGGTTTTCTGTCGCGCAACCAACTCCTCAAACAAGCGGTGACTCCTTTCACAGAAGCTCAGCTCAAGCTAGAAGAGTCAGATGATGATTGGAGCAAAGAGTCCCCAAAATCTCACTAAAGTAATCTGAATTGTTGATAAATCACCGAAATTGCATGATTTCTTTGGCAACCTCTTGGCACTCTAAGATTCCTCTTGTCGTGAATTCCCCCATTGTGGCCTGATATACCAGGGAATTCAGCAGCTGGAGGGTCCCCCCATGCTGTCTCCCCATCCGAGGTACAGCATCAAAGGCCGCCGAAAATTTCAAGAGGTTCGGGCGCTTCTCGGGATTTTGTTCGTAAGAGCTGGTGATGCGCGAGCGCATCAAGTCACCTCACAAGGTGGAGCTGCGGATTCCGGAGAACTTGGTGCAAACGCGATAGTGACATTCATGACTTTCGTAAGACTTTCCAAGAATAACTCTGTGGAAGATGAAGGGTTCCTACCCACTTTCCAATAATCCACATACGTATGTATGTACGTATGTATGTATGTAGGTAGGTAGGTATGTATGTATATATATATATACACATCCCCTTCAGCCGCCTAAAGCACCAAAGAACGCCAAGTAGGATCCAAGTAGCACATCGCTCCCAGGCGCTGGTGTAACTGCTCTGCACTGGAGCCCAAGGCCTGCCAGTAGAGCCGCAAGTTTCCTCGGCGCCGCGGTTTTGGCCATTTCTGATTTTCCCTGAATTTT